AAAAAGGATCAGGGAGTGAGTGATGGTCCCTACATTCAATGTTTCTTGCCAATCTGCGCGGATCTGCTGGCAGAATACTAGATTCGTGGGGATCTGCTGGCGGAGTACTAGATTTGCGCGGACCTGGCGGCGGAGTGCCAGATCTGCGCCCCTCTGGCTACTTTCGTCCAGCTGCGACATTAGCGGTCATAGCTTTTCGAAGCTACGAGTTAAGAAGAGATGTAGAATAAAAATGGCGTGGGCACCCCTTGCTGTTGTACGCACACACGCCGACGTGAAAATTGAAGTATGGCTGGAAGTGAAAGGTTGGGTGTGTGTTTTTTTTTTTTTTTTTTTTTTTTTTTTTTTTCGCCGGGCCGCCCATCCAGGCATACCGCGTATTTGTCCCCGTATCACGTTGTTCCGTAAATACGTGAACGCATAAACGTGATACGAAAAAAGACCTAAGCGTTTTTTCCAAACATGGTTGTCTCATGACAAGGATCAAACATGGGATAGCGTTTGCTGCACCACGCCAGGCAAAGACTGTGAAGTTCCTAAAGACGTTGCACCACACTTCAACAAGAACGATTGTGTGACTCTGACACCCATCGACGTGTATGCACGTGCTGCATGCACTTTCTTGTCCCCAACCCTCCCCCTGCGGAGAGTCTCAATACAACGGTGGGAGTTGAACTATGGGTGAAGGCAGGGGTGGTAAGAGTGATCGTAGCGTTTGTTCGTGTTCTCTCTACTTGCACATTCACGGGGCAAACTGACAAGTGATTCACTAGCAAAAGTTGGATACAAACATGCAAAAGGACATGGCAAAGTTGACTACATCTAGGACCTAACAAGCCTAGTAAACAGCAAGTCGACCTCCAGCGCAACAAATCGGCGACTTGCCAGCGTAGCAAGTCGTCTGCGTGCCAATGCAGCCCGAAGCTGGCTTGCCAATACTGCAAGTCGGCGACCTGCCAGCGTTGCACCAGGACGGCTTGCCAACACAGCAGGTGACAATATCGCACATGCGCGCACCTACTTCGCAGATTCTTGTAGAAGGTGCAGCGACGTGCACCGTCGCGCACATTGCGCAGGTGCCAGGTCGGCCATGTGCCAAAGGTTGCGCCTGATGTGCCATCTCAACCTCGGGATACCAGCCCGAGATCGGCTTCGGCAAAACCTTCTGGGCGATGGTCGCGCACCTCGTAGAACCTCGTCGCCCATGTTACTCAGCCGATTGGGAAACCCTGAAGTCGGCGCCGACCTGACCGGCGGTCGGCACCCGTAAGTTGATGCACAACCTCATCAACCAACCAGGTCGAAGCCGCCCGCCGACTTTACCAAGTCGGCGTCCCCGCAGGTGGACAAAACCCCTTCGTCGACCACACCAGTCGAAGTCGGTCGCCGACCTTCCTCGTCGGCGGCTTCCCAGTGGTCCCGTGTAAGTCGACCAAGTCTGCCGACTTACCCGCCCAAGTCGGTGTCGACCACTGCTGGCAGCCGGCTGCACCTCACGCGCACCCGACTGCGAAGTCGGCTTCACCCAAGCAAGGGCGGAGCCAAATCCCGTCAACACCCCCCTCTTCCCCACTCCCCTCCCCTTCCAGGCAACAACAACTTAGGGCAGTGGAACCAATTGCTGATGCAGCATGGTGACTGTGACAACTGCCAACAGCACTCACTGCAACCATACAACACAAATCGATCCCCCCTTCTTTGCCCAGGCGAAGCGCAGTTCCAGGGCGGCGGAGCGATGGCGTATGTGGCATTGCAGAACGGAGGATTGACCCTGAAGACCAGCACACAACAATTACCCCCTCCCCCACACCTCCCCTCCTCCCTCCCCCCTCCCCCAGGCGAAGCGCAGCCCCAGGGCAGCGGAGCCAGTGGCGGATGCAGCTCGGCAGCACCCCCACCACGTGGCACTCATTGCTGAGGGCTTCCTGGAGGCACGCAGCGTGCTGCACCGCGCCCCACCTCCAGCCAATGAGGCTGCTCCACGTGGCGCCCAGGCGGTGGGCCCTACTCCTCCTGGTGGTGGTGGTGGCGGAGGTGGAGGAGGGCCCGGGACAGGGGCGGGTGGAGGACCAGCGGTTGCGATGGCGGGTTCAGTAGGTATGGGTGGGGCAGGCAAGGGGGGTTTGGATTTTGGCAAAAGTCACTGGTTTGAGGACGTGGGCATGAAGGCAGCTTCAAGCTTGCTTGTTCTGATCTCAGTGCACATCTCAAAAAATGCTCCCAGACGCTTCCACATATCATTGTTGTGAGCAAATATCAAGTTGCTTATTCGTCTGTGCGTTCCTCGTGCCCGCACCCCTCCCACAGGGCGACTGCCACAGCAACCGAAGGTGCCCATGGGCCAGCAGGCAAAGCAGGTGGGTGGGCAGGGCGGTGTGAGTGAGTGGCGTGCATATTGAAGCTGATGATGGCGTGGAGACACAAAAACGTGCATGTACATGCGCCCTCTCCCTTTCAACCAAAACCACAGATTACAAACACGTCCCACACACCCGCCCTC